CGTTTATATATCTAAAAAAAATTGAAGAATGTGAGTAAAAATAGAATGATTTTTAATCTACAGCACTCACTGAAGTTTTTATTAGAATACCTAATTTTCTGTTTTATATCATGTGTGCTTGTAGAAGTTTCAGTAAAGTTTGGGTATTATTAAGTTCGATTGTTGGATAAAAAATCGTATATTTCGAAATCATTTATTTTTAAAACAGCTGCATAAACTCCCCTTTTGTCAAGGAAGATTTAAGGTTCTGAGTCATGTAACAAAGTTTTTTTGTACACGAGGAGAATAAATTTCGTTTAAGAATTTTGATTTTTTCATTTTAGCTTCCTTGTTTTTTTTTATGCATATTTATTTCACATTCTTTTGTTCATATTAAAGACTTCCAACCATTATTAAAATATGAACTATGTGTGGTGCGTATAAAGCAAAATTACACTAGATTTTAATTTTCATCGATTTATATATAGTTTAATGGAGCTACTATGAACATATTTGTTTTATTTCAATCAGAAAATTCTTTATTGTAGGACATCTCAAATATTGATGAGACAACATACAGAATTAAAATCATTCTTTTTGCTTCAGTATCTATGATTGTCTATGGTTGACCTCTTTGACAAGAATTTTTCTCTGTAATTCGCTATCAAAATTAGAGTAAAAAAATTATATTTTCTAAGATTTAAAACAAATAGCATGAAGGACTACTATCAGTGTGAGTAGAGTTATATGATGTAATTAAAGATACTCGGGAAACCTATCTAGTGGTTTGATGTGATAGAAGAAACCAATAAACATCTAATCTCAAACGAGTTCGTCAATTTCGAATAAAAACATATTTAGTTTTGTAGATTTTATTTTATTATTGAGAAAATCGAACGTATATTCATTTTAATAGTGAAATCATTTTATTTATTATAGTTTTTATTAATGAAATTCAATCGAAAAATAAATTAAATAACGTATTCAGAATTTACGTCAACATCTACACAATCACATGTATATTTTTGGTAAATCATTTTTCCACAGAAAATATACGGGTACTGTTCTTTAATAGTTTTCCTCTCAAATTTTGCATATGGTCAATTTTATATTTAACATAATTTACTGCATTTTACATGAGTTGATACAGCTTTTCCCCACTGATTCTGAATTTACTTTTCTTTTTCCAATCGACTTCTGAGAGTAGGAACTGCATTCGATAAGGGTAGCTAATTTCTAAAATGAGTTGATGTTTTACTTTATCAACAATAAAAAAATCATTAAAAAAAACTAAATAAACCATATTGTAGTTCAAAATCGACTGATTTCAATCAGGTAAGACTTTTGTCTTTATGTTTAACTACAAAAAGTCTATTTCTCGTTTTATCTTTTATATCACATATTGGTAAGCTAGAGCACCTCCTTTCAGATTCCATGTCCATCTTTATGGGAATTCAAGGTCTTCGCCTAAACACTGACAACTTCCTGAAAGCTCTACAATCCTGAAGATCATGCTTTGAATGTGACGAATTGTCACACCTGTAGTAATAGAAAAGCTATTTACATAAGAGTTGAAGAAAAAGTTAATTAGGACTATATATCTTTAAGGAGTACATAGTTGACAAATACGAATGATGTAAAAAGGTATAAAGTGAGCCTCAAACGATACAGAACCCAGGACTACTCCTGACATTCTATCACATAACAATAACAATCAAGTTTTGCAACATCTTTTAGGTAAATGAGCGGACAAATTATCACCATACAACATTGTCTGGATGCTTCATTTATTGATTCCATCACATCGACGAAAGAGATATAGTGCCATTCGAAACGATCAGATATATAACTTTTAAAAATAAAATAATCAGACTAATAGTCGTCAAATGATGTTGACAGATGTAATTCATTTCTTCAACAACATTACCTGGTGTTTTCGCAATCAGCTAGTGTAGGATTCAGATATTATTTTCATGTTTTTTGACCTTTTTGAAATGTGTTTGTTATTGTCTATCAGACTTCAATACCATCAATGGATACTACCACTACAATCAATTCACAAGTCACTGGTGCTGCACTGAATCTGAAGTGGACATATTTTGACGGAATAACAACCATTTCAATAGTTACCAACAATCTTGCGGCGTTCCAATGGCTCGGCATCGGCTTCTCGCTTGATGATAGAATGGTATAGGCCAATTGAAGCTTTCTTTTTATTCTTTGACCTTTTTTGTGTAAGATGATGATCATGTATTTGTGTGCCAACGCTTGAGTGATGATACAATTCAACTTCAACGTTTCATCAATCCTGGCGGTTATTCGTCTTCAACCATAGTTACTGCAGATTCCAATTATTGTGGTACATTTACAGTAACCCGAGTAGCTCTAAACAATGGTGTGGCCTATTGTGAACTTACTCTGTCAAATTTTACTACTACAATGGGTCGACGAAGAAAACGGAGCATTTCTTTACTTTCACAAAGTACACAATATCGTATTCTTATGATCACAGGACATCTTGCTGGCTCAAGTAAGGTGCTTTTTTTTCACAAAAAATATATTTGAGTTTTGTCCATGCTAACATGATAGATGCATTAGTACAGCATTCCTCGGAAGCTGTGCTAACTCAAAAGATTCAACTTGATGAATCCAAAACCATAGCGACGATTAATATTGAAGGATCCGACGATGATAAAGCAATGCTCTTGCGTGCTCATGATATTATTATGTTATTTATTTGGATGCTATTTGTTCCAACAGATATTCTAATTGCCCATATTTCAAGCAGTCTTGGCTCACACGAAAACTTTGTGGTAAACCAATGTGGTTTGCTGTTCATCGATTAGTAATGATTTTTGCTGCAATAATGACACTAATAGCATTCGTCGCGATTCTTAAGTATAATCAAGGTACATGGGTTTCATAAAATGAGTCGCATGAATTTGCTCATTCAATCATCGGTATGCTTGCTATTAGTGCTGCTATTATCCAATCAATGATGGCTCTATTTCGCTGTCATCCCGATCATCAGCATCAGTTTATTTTTAACAATGCACATGCTCTAGTCGGCATCAGTGCATTATTTCTCTCGATTATTGCTATTTTGATTAGTTTCGAGTGTCTCGAAATTTTCTACCGCAAGAAATGGTCACCGTTTAGCGTTAAAAATCGAGACAAATTTGGGCAAATGAATACTCTTCATAACGGTAGTGAGGCAACACCAGTGAATGACCGATCATCTCCAGAAAATATACTTAAGGATCGATTACAAACTCTTATTCTGGCAATTCACATTCTGATTGCATTTTGCCTTTCGCTCACACTGGCTTACTGTACGTGACAAGCTTCTTAAGCGAAAATTCAAAAACTTACTCAAATATTATCTATATAAACGAACAATTTTCATCCATAATTCAAATACACTTTCAGCTTGACCATTGTTCTTTTCAACGTGCTTTAATGTTTTATGCTAAACTTAATACTAATAAAAAAGAACTTGATTTTATAAGCACTGTCGAATGTATATTCCTGATCGTTCTTTTCAACTACTTTCACGCTCACATCCACACCCTCCAAAACAAGTGACTTAACTAGTCTGAAATGTCGTCAGTGACAGTGGGAAATAGTCCAAAGTGACTGTGAATGTGGGCATTAGCTAAGAAAAGACCCACGTCTGCCTTATAATTAGACAAACATTTTTTTGTCATAATTTTATTTAAATTAAAATATTCGTCCTGATTAAATTGATTAAAACGTTACTGTATGTTTCTGAAATTCATTTTAGTGTTAATTTCAAAATGGATTGATTTAATTCAAAATAAAATAATAATACTTACAAATACTATTTGCTTTTCAAGGGAAAAAATCATTAATTTATTTTGTACCCTCTATTTTTTTTGCATTCATAACTTTTCTCTAAAATCTAACGATAATCTGCACGAAGATTTTAAAAAAATGTTTTTATTAGATATTAGAGAAAATTATTAAATTTAATAAAATATCGGGTGCAAATAAATTTATAATTTTTTGAATTGAAGAGAAAATAAATTTTATTAATATTATAGTTTTATTCTATTTCTAATTAATTTAATCCATTTTAAAATGAAAACTAAATCTTATTACTTATAAAATTATTTTTCTCTGCAACTTAAAAAATCAAAATCACTCTTGTTCGAGCTGAGATACCTAATTTTGTATTACCGTAATCTTTTCATTCGTACGAAAATTTTCATAAAGTTTCTGAATATATTTCAATCAAAGAATGTCTACTAATGTTTAGCGAGCCGTAAAAGAGAAGTTTTCGATTATATGGTCCCATGGTCCGAACGACGGATACGTAACAGAATATATATATGTTCGAATCTAGCCTTTAACTTCGTATTATATTTAGATTTAGACTTGTCTGGATTAGTCCAATGCATTTCACTATAGCATGCCATGTGAATCATCCGTGACAGTCTTTATTTTTCAATTTTAAATCATTTCCTTACGGGCGTCATGTCAACCCGGCTTGTCTAGTCTTTTCAGAGAAAAAGACTAGACTATATTTGCGAATGTGGATGACGAAAGGGGTTGAATCTTGTCTTCACTAAAGCTCACCACGACCCACATCCACACCCGGTTAATCACATTTTTTTTTATCTATCATTATTTATTATCTGACATATTCTGTTATTTTTTCTTTCTAATCGACATCAACTTTCTTCAGAATTCTGCCAAAAGAAAGTTGAATTGATATGCTATCAGTATTCTAAAAGAAGATTTTTCTATTTTTGTTCGATCAAAGTCTTAGAAAATTCCAGTGAAAGATGGTTTCGAAGAACCTAAGATCTGAGCATGAAGATCTTGAATAAGGCTAAAAAT